GCAAATGTAGTAAAGACAATGATTAAGAAACAAGGATTGGCTCAGATGCACTTGCTAACTCATAGATCTTCTTAGCATAAATGCAATTCTAATTTCATTATTTCCACGTTCATTAAATAATCCAACAAGATTCCTCAAGGTTGAATCCTAAAGTCATTAAGCTCAAAACATGATTCCTCAATGTTTTGAGTCTAACACTTCGCATTAAGAACAATAACTTGAACAATGTGACTAACCAAATCAAGTCTATTCCTAGAACAAGAGGTGATTAGGTGCAAGATTCAGTTCGGGTTTTCGAAAGCGTTTTCCAACTGGATTCAAAAGCCAAAAATCATACAACGGTTGATCAAGCCGATATAAGCGTTAAGCGAAGAATCATTACACAAATAATGAGATCAAAATGCATATATTTAAGAAGAAGAGGAGTTAGTAGTTACATCTAACCAATCCTTAAGAAGTTTAGCCACCCATGGCCATTACAGAATCAAAGAGTGAAAAGAAGAAATTACAAAGCAAAGGATGAAGAAATGGAGTTGATCTTCGTTCCCAAAGGATCCAGCTTCCAAGTCTCTGTTCTTCCTTCGTTCTTCCTTCTTCCCAAGCTTTTCCCCTGTTTTTCTCTGTTAAATTCGTGCTCCGTATTCTTTGTTTTTCCCCTTTTATATTGGCTTCAAAACAAGGCCAAAAAGTAACTTTTATTTCCACGGCTGCAGCTGCAGATCCACGGCTATAGCTGTGGAGAGTCCTTCAGGGTGAAGAAACCTCCAAGGCTGCAGCTGTGGTTTCACAGCTATAGCTGTGGCAACCCCTTCAAACTTAAGGAACCTCCAACGCTCAAGCGGTGAAGCCACAGCTATGGCTGTGGCTCTCTGGAGTTTTTATTGGGTCCAGGGTGCTTCCACGGCTTTAGCTGTGAGTCCACAGCTTTAGCTTCAACTCTCTGGAGCTTCAAAGTACATTTCAGATTTCCACAGCTATAGCTGCAGATCCACAGCTATAGCTCCAACTTTCTGGACCTCTATATTCTTCCCAGACTTCCACAGCTCGAGCTCCAGATCCACAGCTGCCTAGCCAAAAATCCTGCAAAAATTGAGGAAATTCCTTAAGATTGCTACTACTCCTCTGCTCTTATAGTATAACTTAATTCTATAAATTAAAGGGGTAAAATACATATATATTATCTACAATTATATATAAAGATTGCCAAAAGTTGAGTGCAAAACATACAAAAAAGGACACTCAACACTATGGTTGCTTTTTAGTGGCATTTTTTGTCTGAATTACAATCTATTGAGTTTTAACACTAAAGATTTGTAATCTTGTAATTTGATCTCACCAGGTTTGCCTAACCAGGTGCCATGCAACTACAAGAATCGTTTGCAAGAATTTACTCAAAAATCACACATAGCATATCCCGTGTATTTAGCTGTTAATGAGGGGCTCCCACATCATCCAAAGTTCAGGGCGACAGTGTGTGTGGACAACACCAGTTACATTTCCCCCAACACTTTCTCTAAATTGAAAGCAGCTGAGCAAGATGTAGCTAGAGTAGCACTAGAAGGTCTTGCTGAAAAATTACCAGAAGAAGAAGAGTGCCCTGTTAATTTGGAGGTTTGTTGTAATATAATTTTTATCTCAAATTTGAGAATTGTTAACTAATTTCAAGCAAAGATAGATTCATTATTCTTATTCATAGCGCCTCATATGACTACTTGTGTTGTACACTTGTACAAATTTTTTTTTCTTTCTCTCCCTTAAGTAATTTGTTTAGTGCTATTTGATTCGGTATGCTATGTTTGTTTGTCGATTGTATGTTCTACAAGTATTGAGATTGTATTCTGCCATGCATTCTAAGGATTGTTTTCTGTCTATCTTACATTTGGTTGATCTAAATTTGTTATCCACTTTACTTGGTATAGAATGTTTTTATAGATAACAAACTATCTTGGGTATGTGACTTTGAATGTAATACTGAAGTGTGATCCATGCAACCTTTTTGGCCACTTAGATAGATATATGCATGTCCATGTGAATGTGATGATGATATTATAGGCTAGCTTGTCCATTGTCCTTTTTGAGAACTATGATGTGGCACATATCATGACTTTGGTCTGAATGATTAAATTGTTTGGCTCAAATTTTGTAGTTACTGAATTATGTGGAAACAATTATGTTTCTTGTTTAACTTATTTTCAGCTGTATGTTTTTACACTCAAGCTATTTACCAGTGACAAATTTTATTGAGTATCATAATGTTTTTTTTTTGCTTATGGGGAAACAATTCTACCTTTTTATTTGGTTTTGTTGAAGGTTTGAAACACCGGTATAGCACGAAGTAGTCGTGTTTTTATATTCAAGGACTTGGGCAAAGTGACATTGTACAAGAGTTGAGTGGTCACTGCTGGTATCTGATGTCATGAGTAACGTAACTATTGACATATAGTAAATGATTCATATTGTCTTGGTCATTTATTATCATTTAATATTATGTTGCACTGTGAAATCCTTAAAGTACTCTTTGTGATCGTTTTCCAGAATATTACTCCATTTTCCAAATCTGTCTTGAATGAGTATGCTACTAAGCTGAGGTGGAAATGCCTACATACAACACTGTTCAGCTAGAAGGGGTGTTTTCTCCTTTTATATCATCTGTGACCTTCAATGATACAAGTTACACCGGTGATACTGCTAGAAGAAAAAAAGATGCTGAGAAGTTAGCAGCAAGTGCTGCTATTATCTCAATGCTTGGTATTCTTACTGAATGTTTATTACATATTTTCAGGTTTTTTTTTTCTTTTTGCTGTGAAGTGACTATTCAAATTGAATTGGAATAATGTATATATCAAACAGACGGTGCTACCACAGGAACACTTTATGAGATGGTGAAATCAAAATACAATTTTTTTGCTGAAGCCAGACTGAACAACTTTGATGAATGTACTCATGCTCTTCATTCTAGTTTAGCAACCATGGAAAAAGTAGGAGATAAGGAGGTTGCAGTTCCTGTGGCTGTTGAAAGCAATGAAACAAGAATTGCACTTCCTGCACCTTTTTCTAAGATGCCAGAACATGCACCTTCCCTCAAGCCACTGTCACGTAGATTCCAAATCTGAATCTCCCTCTAGTTCGTATTGGTGCTGGTGTAGTGTTTAATTCACTAAAGCAAAAGAACCTTGGTTTGAATGAGTAAGTTTCATAATATCTAACTATTGTTATTTACTATTTTACTTCCTTTTCCTTTCTCTCCAGCCCTTTTTATACTTTTCCATGTCTGTGTAACTTTAGCTGCAGACAATTAATTTAGTTGATCTTTTAAGTGTATTCCTTATCTATCTGCCCATAATTTTGAAAGCTTTCATTCCCTATACTCCTACTTCTATATTGATCATAATTCTCTCTTCATCAATTCCTTCCCAAGGTGTCAACATGCAATGAGCCATTGAATATTTAATAAAGAAAAATGAATCATTAATATTTTAAAGGTTTTATTAAAAATGTTACTTTACTAATTTATGTCCCTATAATAATCTCTTGCATATAAAATGACAAAATGAGTTAACTTGACCTGTTTAGGCTTGATCTATCATTGGTCTACCAAAAATAGGTCAAACCAATCTATTAGACAAAAATGAGTTGAGAACTTTGGCCCATTCTACCTAAGGCCCACCAAAAAAAATTTAAAAAGAAAAAAAAGCAAAGAAAAGGAAAAAAAGTTTGCGTATTTATTTTGAGTTACTCTTCTACCATATTTTTTTTCTCAATATCTAAAGAACCTACATAAATCAATGTACTTAAGTGATGAAAGAAATCTCAAATTACAATTGATTTGATTTGATTTGTTGTATAACAAATATCAAATTTGTTGCATAATAAAATAGATATATAATTATAATAATATTCATAATTTTTGTTATAGATTTATTGCACAATAAATCTCAAATTATATATAATAAAATAAATCAAATACACAACAAATTACAAATTATACACAAAATAAATTTTAAAAATTTAATTAAACTCACATTAAAAATAATAAATAAATAAATAATATATATAAAAAATAAAAATAGGTAGGCTGACAAACCAATCTATCTCATCCCGCCATTTAACCTAATGGATCAAGAGAGACAAGGTTGGCAGACTAAGTTACCTAATTTGACCTACCATTTTTTGACAAGCTAACGGGTCGAGTTGCAGATTGTGACCCATTTTGCCACCACTACTTGCATACTTCTTGTTCTTGATAAAAATTATTCAACCATGTTTATAAAAAAAAAGTTCGTAATATATTTTGTAGGTGCTTGCGTTAGTGGTTATGTAATTAAAGCTAGGGTTTAGTTACTGTTTCGAAAGATGTTTAGTTAATTACTTGTAGATGCATGTCTTGTTAACTAATTAGATGTTTTGTTGTGGGAATTTGCAGGTTGGCAGTTGAGTCATTTTCTTTAGAGTTAATCATCCATACATTATCAGTGTAAAGTTTTTTACACTGACAACCAATCATATCTTTTAAATTATTTTATTTTATTTTTATTTTATTAAATAAGCAATTGACATGACATTATTAAAAGATATAATTGATTGACAGTATAAAAAAATTTTACACTCACAGTATATAGATGATTAAGTCTTTTCTTTAAACAGACAGGATCTCACTTTGTTCGGTGGCACACTGGGATTAATGATCATATTGATCTTCTTTATAGCAAGCATTGCTGCGAGACTTGTTTCAAAAAAGAAACTTTGGTTATATTTAAATGCTTGCGGGACATATTTTTACTTGTTTATGTTGAGATGCTTTGGATTTTGAATTATTGTTATGTTATAAGTTTGCAAGTGCGTTTAGTTGCATCTGTTGTGGCTTCTTTTGGTTTTATTTTTTTAATCTATGTTGCGTTGTTGCTAACTTGCATATTTGCTAGTTGTTCCTGAATTCTAGTTATGGTAATTATTAGAATGATGGATGATCGAAAGGAAAAATTATTAGAATGTGATAGTTGAAAAAATATTGCATCCGGTTAATGGTGCAAATCTAATCGCCAAGAGTATTTTAGTTTGGGATTTGGAATCTCTTTAGATAGAGAAAATAGCAAGATATGGTCTGGTCAGAGAAAAAAAAAATACAAGAGAAGGGAAATATAATTACCGACACTTATTATTAAAATTTAAATATTTTTTAATCTCTTAAATTTAAAATAAATAAATTTTTAATTTTTAAATTTAAAGTTAATTTTTATAATTTTCAAAAGTTTTATTTTAGTTATTATAATCAAATTTTATTATGAAATCTGTTAAATATAATTGTATAAAATTTATTTAATATTTTTATTAATGAAAATATCACATTGATAATATGAGATATTAAAATAAAATTTTTAAAAATTATAAAAACTAAAAAAATAATTTTAAATTTCAAAGATTAAAAATAAGTTTATCTTAAATTTAAAGGACAAAAACATATTTAAATTTATAATTAAATATGCTAGTCGTTTTCTTAGTATTTTTTTTTTAATTTCGAACTCATTACTACCTAGGTGATAAGATTATATATCTAGGACTATGTTTAACTCTCACGAGCCCCTTATTTCTTCTTTATAAAGCTAAAATAATGAAGGGACATTTTTAGGAGTTGAATATATACATTTTTTTTTCCAACTTCACCTAACAAGTCTTTTCTTTTGTAGTATTTTTTATTTTTGCATTGTTAGAGCTGATCGAGATATGGGTTGGTCTTTTCAGCCCAAAATCAGCGGATTCTAGAGATGAAGGATCCATGTAAGTTAGTATACCCATTATAAAAATATTTTTTATATGATATAGCGTAAAATTAATACCTTCAATATTTGGTTCTACCCTATTTCTAAACACACTCCAATTTCTCAAAAAACTGGTATATATTCTCCATATATGATTATTGGATTTGGACCACTACTCGTGCATGTCGTTGCGCACCACTAAACATCTAGCATATAAAGCAACAATAACTTCGGAAGTTTCTTCTATTTGAATTGATTACACGAGTCGAATAAAATCACGTATTAATAACTTGGAAACCGTAGGATCAAACTGGTAACAGTGTTGGATAGATTAATTGCATGAGGTCCTAGGTTATATTCAGGTTGTTCCCATTAATAAAATTCAAGGCATCTCAATAATGTATTAGAAACATATCATTAATTATAGCTAACCCATGATTAAGTAAAAATATCAATAACTAGCGAGGTGCAACAACAATGAAAAGTCTGATGAGAGAAGCAGTGTGCAAATTTTGAAGAGCTTGGGGGTTGAAATTAATAATTATGGTATGTGCTTTGATTGTAAGACTTAAAAAGAGTTCTTCATGGTGATAGATAGACTTGGTTAGACATGTCTCCTTAAGACAAGGAAGATGAATTGCACCTTTTTCCAATGCCAGCTCTCGATCTTTCCACTTTGTCCTGTACTAAATTGCTTATCAAAACATGCATGTCATGTGGATGATGATCTTCTTCGGGTCAACAAAAGATGTATACTTTACTATCTTTCATGAGCAGTCAGAAATGGTCCTGCACCAAAAAGAAAGAAAACCAAAATTGAGGACACACATGAAAATGAAGAAAAGAAAAAAAGCTGCCTTGGCCGCTTAAATTCCGTTTTGGTTTAAAAATTCATTTTGACCATTTGATGGAACTGGTGATCAAGTGAATGACACATTTTTTTAGGCAGCAATGAATAGTTGAAAAAGGTGTTAAAGTTGGATGTAACCACTAAACCCATAGTTTTAAAAATTAGACCGGTCATCGAACCAGTTGGATCAAAGGTTGAACCGGTGGGTCACTAGTTGAACTGCATGACTCAATTTTTATTAAAAAATATTTATATTAAATATATTTTATACTTATAAATTTTAATAAATTCATATCTTATTTTAAATTTCAATTTTTCTATCTTATTTAAAATTATTTTTATTTTTATTTTGTAAAAAAATACATAAAAAAATTACATGTTAAACGGTATATTAATACAAATTAAAAATATAAATAATATGTACATATATAATATGCTTGCAATTAATATCACAAAATAATATATGTAATATTTACATAGATATTGCATTATTAAATATATAATTTAAAATTAATAATATACTGTAAAAGTTATTTAAGTTGTATATATTGCAAACAAATATATTAGAACAAGTAGTCATTGTTATATTTAATAAGACTCCTTGCTTTTTCATTAAGAGATTCAATTTTCATTATTATTTTTGTGATTTATGGTCCCTTAAAAAAAATTTAAAAAAAATAAGAAAAAAAAGCGTTGAACCGGTTTGACCCACCGGTTTACCGGTTGAACCGAAAAATTGACCGTCCGGTTTGAAACGGGTCGACTGCATAACCGATCCAACTTCAGATTCGAACCGGCTAGACCACCGGTTCCCGGTCCAACCGGTCCGACCGGCCGAGTCGGTCCGAGTTTTAAAACACTGACTATAGTCACAGGAATTTGAGTTATATTTAAATTTTTTTGCATAAAAACAAAACATGCTAACCGGTGCCTTTAATGTATTGGCTAAACAATCAAAAGTAGAAAATTTTAATGAAAAGGGTATCGTTTTTTTTTTTGTGTAACTATTTTAATTTTTTGATAAAAATTATCCACATATTGATTTCTTAACTAGTGACTTGGTTAGCAAAATTCTTAAAAAAAAAAATAGGAGACAAACTGTTAGGTGTTTCTTCCTTAGTTGATGGCTAAGGGAATCCCTGAGAGTGGATAGCAGAAAGGAGGGAGATATTTGATTTTAAGCCTACCTTTTCATTCATTCGAAAGGTCATATATAGCCATTACAAAACATGCAAAACAAAATTGGTTACAATTAGAGGGTCCTCCTGATTTGTAGGCTAGGAATCTTACGAAACGAAAACAAGCAAACAAGGTGACTAAGCACTTCTAGAAACATGAAACGAAAATAACAGGCAAATATGGTGACTAGGCAATTCTAGAACATGCTGACATAGTGAGCTTTATGGGATGTAATCCTTCAAATGGACTGGTGTGGTAGTAGTCCGTTTGGGCCTTGCATTGGCCAATTGGGCTGTGGTCTGATTGCTAACACAGACAAAATAAAGCCACAAACCACGATGATAAGTTTGCTAATTTTTATAATATTTTAATTGATTACCATCTATCAAATTATATAAATAATGGATGTTTTAGCCAAATAATTTATTGACACATCATTATTACTAATATTTAAGTGTATATTAAATATTTATTATATATAATTTAATTTAAAATAAATTATGTATATAAATAAATATTAGATTTGAATATATAAATTATATATAAAATTTCAATAATTTATATTTTTAAATATATAAATTATATTTTAGATTTATGATAAATAATTTATATTAAGCATGTGTACAAAATTATTTTTATTTATTAATAATTTATTTTAAAATATTAAAATTTTAATTCATAAATAATTATAATAAATAAAAAGTCAAATTAGATATATAAAATTAAAAGAATCCCTAAAAACTTTCTCGAATAAATTTTTTTAAAAACACTAATTATTTATATCTTATGTATAGAGATTGATGTTAAATATTAATTTAAATTATAAATAAATATGATAAATTAGATTAGAAAAATTAGAAAAATTAAAATTAATACTTCAGTCAAAAAATGACTCTAAAATTACTCACATAAAATAATTATTATAGAACGTATAAGTGAACTAATAAATAATCTAGTCAATGGTAAACCATTTTATTTCACTGTTAGATTTCTTAGGCCCATACTTTCATTATTTCATACCATGAACCCTCTTTACCGGATTTTTTTATTTTTTATTTCTCTCTCTCTCTCTTAATCACTTCCAACAGCAATAGTAACACCCATCCAAAGAAGGATATAGATCTACTTGTAAGAGAACTTCACACCCTGCAGTTATAGATGTCATTGCTAATATAATTTTCTCTCTTTTTTATATATTAAAATTATCAAATGTTTAAATTAAAGGAATGACTTAGATTGATGTGATTCTCATCAAAACTGTTGGGAATCTTAATCCAAATGCAACAGTTATGCATTCTTATTCTTTCTTTTTGAGCGCGAGTAATTCAAAACCCAGGTACTGATTGAGTTGGAGGAATAAGGAATTAGAAGAAAGAGGTGCATGAAATTCAGAAGATGAATTTCAATTGTGAACAGAAAAAGGATTTCCTATTCTGATAAAACCCTGATAAAATTCTAAACCCTAAACTATAAAATGTCATTATATCATCATCAATTGTTTAAAATTTTATTATTTTAGTGAAGCAAACATTTAAAAAAAAATCAATTTTTAAAAGTGTTATGCATTATAAAAAAGTTTTAAAAAAGTAGGAAGGGGGAGTCGGGTTTTCAGTCACGACTCCCATTTATTTTTTTTAAAGTTATGTTATTAAATCCAATTTTTTTTTTATAAAAATAAAATTAAATAAATAAAAATAAACAAAGTCAGATTTTAGAAGACAAGTATTTATAAAAGTCATGTTATTCAAGCAACTTTAATTTTTAAATTTTAAAAATTTTAAAATTATAAATAGAAAAATCATTCCTTAAAACACAATTTTTGCATTAAGTTTCGTATATAACAAATACAATTTATCCATTTTCAAAATTATTTTAAAAATTATCCATTACAAAAATTTTGAGCCAAAATTACACCATCAACATGAACATACCATGCCGTAATGAGAATGAAAGCAATAATATTGCAGTTACACGACAAGAAACGCCGAGACATATGAAAACACATAAGGAAGAGGATAAAAGAAATAAAATAAAATAAAAAAGATAAAATATCTTGTACATCAGTGCATAATAACACACTTGATCACCGTAGATTTCATCATTATTAAAAAGGTAGTAGTCTGTTTACTACTCTAAGTAATCATTAATTAATTAACTGGAAAAATTAATCACAGATTTACTGTTTTTAACTTGGTATATTAGGTTTGTGTCGGAAACAATTGCATGATTGCTTAGAGTGTAAAATCATTGTCATTTCATTACATATTTTGACTTTTTAGCATTTATGAGTAATGGGATTCCCTGTCCACTGAATTGTTTTGATTCCGCCCATTTTTGTTTTAAATATTTGTAAACACTGGTCCCTATCATTAATCAAGACCGAGAAGTTATATTCAAATGATATTTGAAAGAAAAAAGAAATGAATGCAATCTCACTTAACGTTTCATAAACATGCATGTAATAATTTTTCAGGGTAATGCATGTATTTCCTATGATGGTAACTAGATTCATTTGAAGTTTAAACTTTTTAAAAATGCACGGCTTAATATGAATCACTTGCTCTGATGGTTAGAGTTTAATTACATCATATAACTCTTTAACTAGCTAGTTAGCATATTTTATGCTGTTCTGTTTAGTTAATGCGTCTTTGGTTTTACATCAGCATAGAACCAAAATCACAATCACGTCGAAGTCACATTTAACGCAAAAGTTAACATTTAAAGTTTCCGATTTTTACAATATTAGATACATGCGTATTAACTGGTTGGACACGATATCAAACACAGACTCAATTTTCAAATTATTTTATCTGGCTCCCAGTATACTTAGTTGTCACATGTGTACATCCTCAAAATCTTCCGAGCTGAATTTCAATTTCTTTCTTTATTCTTCCATAGATGTACTTTGTACATGGCACTGTTGACACTTTTTTTTCTTCTTCTTTCTTTCTATAATTAGAATCTGAGTAATCCCTATCTATCATTATGTGAGTAATTGTATTTAAAAATATGTCTTGAGGTTTGTGTTTACTCACTTAACGGTATTTATCAACAAGTTATTAGTAAGAGTGAACGAAATTAAGACCCTTAAAGCAAGGTAGAAATTCAAGAAGTTTATTTGTTCAAACTCAATTGTATACAAGACCCCTATGCTAAGATAAAAAAATTTCATGTCCCTCTTTATTTGCAATCTTAATTACTTAAATAGAATTCAGAGTTATAGGGAGTATATAAATGGACCAAAATGTAAATCTTCATGACAATCAGTGTTGTTAGCCTATTCAATAACTACTTCCAGACAACAGCACAGAATGTTAACATTTAGAATAAAATAAAATTCAAGTCCACGTGCTGAAGTGATTTAAGGGAAACATGCAAGAAGCTACCTAAAGTAGCTACAGCTTCTTCATCAAATAGAGACGTGGATCATGCGAAGGAACCGGCGACCCTTATGCTGCTTTGCAATGTTTTTATCTTATCTCCAATGCATTAACTCCTGCCAGCTAACAATCCCAATACGAAGATGAATTAATCTGACATAATGGGAATTCATAAACCTGCCCTTATTATTATACTATTAGATTATGATTTCTTGTTTCCCCATAGTTAATACTCCTGTCACACACTATACCCATCTCCATTAATACATTAATACATAAAATAACATTTGAGTTGAATATTTGACATCTATAAATAGGCCTCCCTTACTAGTTGTCATAATCATTGTTGACCAGCCTAAACAAAAAAATAACTTAATTGCTTTTGCAATTATTTTTCCTTTAGCTCTCTAATGGCACTGGCCAAAGACCGAAAAATTCCACATGATTCAAGCATGAGCAGCAAGGTTCAAAAGACTATTTTCAGTAAGTACCACAAATCTGTGCTAGAAGAGGAAGATGGCTCACAAACTGTTAATGGTCTCAGCAATGATTCAGCTGTGAGTGTAACACATTCTCCTCCTATATGTGTCAGTGGCAAAGGGAATGCTTATAAGGGAAAAAACTATCAGCTTGAAGATAAAGAATCGCTGATTCATTTCAAAGGGTATAGCAATATGATGCAAGCTGGTGAATCTTTGCTTAGCTTTCAGTACTTGAAAGATAGTAGTCTGAAAGAGTACTGTGTTTGGGAGAATAATTTGCATCAAGGTCATACTCATAACCACTGGATTCAGACTAGTCCGAGAAGCCCTAGAGACATGCGCATGGTACAAGATTTGAATTGCTTTCAAACTGCTAGTGGCTATAGCTCCATAGCTGATAAAGCTAAAGAGAAGCAACGTGGCCAAAGTTCATCTGGGTGGCTCTACTCAGCACCAACTATCCCTAATGATAGTAGCCTCCACAAGTTAGGAGCACAAGAATCAGTTTTGCAAAAACGCCCTTCTATGGTACTCCTTAGTTATATTACATATTTACATATACCAAAATACCAATGTTCAGAACTAATCCTTAGAAAGCTTTCTAAAACTAGAATGGAAATTGAGGTGCACTTTGACTTTGTGTTTGCAGGGAGTGAACATGAAAGCTGCCAAGAAGCAATGCACAACTGAGAGTATAAAGCCAAAGCATAAGACAAGCCCATCAAAGGATCCTCAAAGTGTGGCTGCAAAGGTTTGCTTCAATCCGAAGCCAATTTATGTTAGATATGTTCAAAGTTTTGTTTGCAAAGTAAGCAAACTTAAAATAAGAGATTCAATGTTGATAGAATGTTTGTCTCACAGAACCGAAGAGAGAGGATAAGTGAGCGGTTGAAGATACTACAAGAACTTGTGCCTAATGGCTCCAAGGTGGGTTTCTTTTTTTTCTTTTTTTTTCTTTTTCTTGCACTTCATTTGTGGGAAAAATATCATATTATATTTAATCAAATCAAGAAAAAAAAAAACTCCTCGAGGCAAGGCTTTTGAGTTTTGACTTGTTAGAATGATGATTTAACACCGATAATGAATTTTGCAGGTTGATTTGGTTACTATGCTGGAGAAAGCAATTAGCTATGTAAAGTTTCTTCAATTGCAAGTGAAGGTGAGGCTTCAAATACTAGTTTTCTTCTTCTGATATATAGTTTTCTAAGGTGCAAATTATTTTCCTTGGCATGCGATATCATTGCTCTCTTATTGTTAATGGTGCAGGTGTTGGCAACTGATGAATTTTGGCCTGTCCAAGGTGGAAAACCTCCTGATATTTCTCAAGTAAAGGAAGCCATCGATGCCATTCTTTCATCACAAAGAGAGAGACGTTCAAGCTCAACGTAGATAAGATGAAGATCATGGTTCCAAGGAAATGATGTCTCAATAACTCGATAAATTTTCAGACCAAGAAAAACCCCTTGCTCTAAGAGTTGTTAGTTCTGAAGGACATTTTACTAGAAATTCAGAATGCAAGACCATTATGTAACTTCTAAACCAATATCTAGCAGTGTATGCTGAGGCCTCTACCTTTTCCTAGAATTTCATTAACAAAATATCTATAAGTACATTGTAATTTTCTCTGAGCTAGTTATTACAATGAAGTGTTTAATTACTAGATCTAAAGTATTTTCCTTCTCTGATAACGATTATATATACTATATAGTATATTGGCTTACGTTCAGCATGCATATTATTAGCATTCAAGGAGACATCAATCACGTGAACTTGTCTCGATGCCAAAGATATAATACTGCTGCTATTGCAATCATACACTGTGCTTTGACTTTTCTCTGAATTAACAATATCAGAATGAGCTAAGTAGCCATGGTTCATGCAACATCTTGGAGGTTAGAGTAGGATACTTCTTAACTCGCTGTTGACATAATAAAATAGGTTGGTACTGGTAGTTGACAGATAGAATATAAATAAAAATTTAAAATTATGTATTTTAATTTGTTATAATTAATGAGTTAAATTAATGCATCAAGTAAGTATTTTGTAGTCTATCTATTTGCTTGAGACTAGGAGTTTCATGTCAAATTAATGGAAGAACAAATGTGATCTAGCTCATGCTAGAAGTGAGACACAATCAAGGTAGAAAATTAGTTTCATAACTTTCGGTTTAATTATTGAACCCATCTGAGTTAATTAATTTCGCGATCTATTCTGTTGGTAAATATTATAGTTGCAAAACCCGTAGTAGTTTATCATATGAACATTTTAAAAAAGTTAAACAAAAATTAGAAGCCACGTTCCTTGATATCAAACATGTGGCATTGAGTTTCGCCTTTGATATTGGGACCACCTATGCATGTTAGAATCTTCTCCACAATTTCATGCTTGCGGCTACAAAAGAGAACCTTCATTAATGCGTTGTAAAGAATCTAGATTTCATCTTCATTATTACATTATTAGTATAAAAAAGGCTCTTCATATTTTCGTAAAAAAAATAAAATAAATTAGTGTTTCTAAAAAAAAAGCAAGTAATTATTATTTTTAAATAAGATAATTATATATATATATATATATATATATATATATATATTATTCGTATTTTATCCTTAAGAATAAAAATAAAATAAAATACAATATAAAGATATAATTATTTTTAAAAATATGGACACTAAAAAAGAATATTCTCTTTATATATTGTTATAGATTACTCAAAAAAAAAAAAAGGAAAATTAACTTTTCTATTTTATCATTATTTAAAAAAAATTCATCACCTGGGTCGATTTCTTTAACTATGTTATCAAGAATTTGATTCTCCTGTGAGAAAATTTTGTTGCTAGAGAAAAAACTATTTTCTTTGAGCTCTATGTAAAATACATTAGTTCATTTGTACACAACGGTGGACCTACACGTTAAGGTCAAGGAGCAACCGAACCTATGATAAAAATCTAACCGAACAAAAATGCCATTGTAGGAAGATTAGATTGATATTTGATAATTCAGAGATCAAAAAATAAACACCACCCATATAAATGTTGGTTACCACCACTCACCAGATTTGCATGCAGAAGTAATATATTACACGCATTTAGTTATTAGCCTTAAAAAGTACATTTAATTCCACACGTATATTTAACCAAATTAACCATATAGTATTTCACTAGCTAAACTCAGATATATGCGCGTATATCTAGTTGATGAGTATGCAGAACGCACATATGAGGCTCCGTATAATTGTTTTACAGTTTTCTTATTATTAAATTATTGATCATCTTTTAAAAAAATTCTAATTCAAGTTCTCTTTAAATTTTTTCTTTTCTAATTCTGGGAGGAGAACATCGTTAAGCACGTGTATTTGTTAATATATTTTTTCTCACTGAATTCATAATGGGAAATTATTCCACACTACTTGTTTTTTCCCTCCAATTGCATACACACGAGTTCCTATCAACAGTGCAAAATTGATTTCAGAAATGTTAAATCATTGGCAAGTGTGTACCAATTAAGTAGTATAAGAAATAAATAGTAAGAAATGGTTCTCAATGTTTCAAATGCTATTTGGTTTCACTATCAAAATAATAACGGAACGAATCATTTTTTGGATGAAGAGAGTTCTAATAAAATCGACGAAAACAAAGTTAAACAGTCAGTGTGTTCGGAATTGGATTGACGTTGTTTTTTTTTTTTTGAAGGGATCGAAGGGTCATAAGCCCAAAAACGAGGTATTGATAAAAAATAAAAAAATAAAAAAAGAGGCATCTATGTGTTGGTCACTCGTGTGCAGTTACAATATTTACTGGGTTTTTCTATTTTCATTTAATTTATTAAATAATATTTGTAGATATTATTTAGTTAATTACTTAATTATATGGGGCTTACGTGTCATTTGAGCATATCACGAGTCACGACTTGAAAGATATGGAACTAGAAAAGGAGAGGAAACAAGGAAAGAGACAGATTCGGTTGTCTGGCTGATTTTTACGATGAATTTGTTATTTTCAATTTTTACAATTTTAGACAGAAATGAATGTAGATATTTTCAATTTCTATTTTTAGAATGGTAAGTGTCTAAGTGAGACCAGACTTCAGTAATTGAGCAATTAAACAACGTAAATTAACTATAATTACACTAATAACATGTATGGTGGCAAATAATTTAAATTCTTAATTATATGATTCGTGTTTATGAAAAAAAAATTAGATAAAAGATGATATTTTCTTAAATAGATTTCACTTTCTTAACTCTTGATTTTTAGCGAAGAATACTCTAGGGCACTAAGAAAAACTAGAATTGGCAGAGTAATACTTAAATAACCAAATTACCAAACGTTTTATGATGAGCAAGTAGCTTAGAAGTAGCCAGGTGTATTCTTCTATTTTTAAATAATCCCATGATTCCCATCCTAACCTAATTAATATCAATGCAATAAAATGATCTGCATGTTCAGTACAAAAGCTTAACTAGACTCTAGAAACATAATGGCACAAGGAAGAAAACCTACATCATAATTAAGTATTGGTTTTTAATTAATTTTAAAAAGTAAAATGTTACATTAGCAACTTTTAGAAAAGCAAACAAGACAACCGATACATGAAACTTTGGGTGTACTACAAAAGTTGTTTATCTAACATTGTAGTCTTATCAAGCTAATTATAATTTCTGTTTGTTGCTGGATTGCTGCCACGTCAAATTGGAACTGGCCAAGTGGTATTCTGACTGAAAGGGTAGGGGAATGATATCAGAACTCAATCATGATTAATGCTTCTTCAATATACATGCCATATTTTTCAAAGAGACTCAGAGACATTAACTCCTTGTATCATGTAATGAAGTGGTTGAGAATTAGATTTTGAAATTAATAGATTTGTCATTTTGTCACTTCATAATATGGTAACATGTACATCAATTTTCTTTTATGTACATAAAACTAGGAAGTAAATTTTTTTAAAATTAATGTTAAAAATATGCGCCAATATATATAAATATTTTTTATGTTATCAATTAATTATAAATTACGTAAAATAACTTTTAAATTTTAAAGTTGATCATCGTAAAAGTTAATAAAATTATCATATATAATAATTTTTATTTGATTGATAATATAAATTAAAATACAAAAATTACATCATTATTATATGAATTATTTTCTCTAAAAATATGTATTTTGTTTATATAAACTTTAATAATTTATATTTTACATCATATTTTAATGATCTAATCGTTGAATTAAAAAATTTTAATATATAAATTACATCATACTTTAATGATTTAATCGTTAAATTAAAAAATTTTAATATATAAATTAAATCTGTAAATTTTTAAAATATTTAAAAATTATTTAATATTTTATTTTATTAATTTAAATTAACAGATAATTATAAAAATATTTTATACATTAATTTAAAATAATTGAACTAAGTATTAAATAATTTTTAATTTTTTTAAAAAAATTACATACTTGATCCATACATTAATTAAAAAAATTTAATTTAATAATTAAATCAATAAGATTTAATCTAAAATATGAGTTATTGACTAAAATAAGTTTAGATAAGCTTATTCTTAAAATAAATGTATTTATATATATATATATATATATATATATAAGTCTTTTAAATACTTTTTTTAAGTCAAAATTAATAACTTTTTCTAATAATAAAAATCTAAAACAAAATTGTGTCACCATTTTTTTTATTAAGTTTAAAGAAATGCATCCTTATATTGATTGAGGTAGCAAAATCAATGTTTTCCAGTATGGTTGTTGATTATAATCTTGTCTATTTATTTATTAATTGTGTTAAGTTTTCTTGTCACCCAATTTAACATACTAAATGGGCTATCATTAACCACAGTCTCCATGTGTATAATTTTATATAATTTCATTCGACATCACGTTTATTGATTTATACACGTACCCGATGACTAAGATGGCAGTGTAAGAGATGCAGAAGCAATTTAAGTGTTCAGAGCCACGTGGTGGCTCTGTTCCTTCCAATCATTGATGAAATGATGATATATGCAAATACAATCATACATTCTTGGCCTCGTATTTCAATGCAGACAATACGGATTTAGCTTATTTAGAATATCTTTTTTACCACCTCTGATGGCTACCTGTAATGTATCGATCTATATCTGTTCATCTCACTGAATAAGATGGAAAAAGAAAAAATCTGACATGACAAATAATTAGTTTGCGTTTGATGTTGAAACTATTTTATATACTTTAGACAAATCATTTAGGATTTTAGAATACTTTTTATATAATGTTCTCTTAATTGTGTGCTCAAAAACAAATAAGTAAATGAAGTATAATTTACTGAAACAATTATAAGGGTCTTGTTCAAACCTACACATATTTCAAACAAGAGTTACTATGCTGAAGCAGTCGCGTAAGTGATTAATTCTTCGATAAATTTTAATTTGTAATCAATTAATCTTTTAGGTGAAAAACAAATGGAAATGAGAGGGGTAAAATTGTTAATATGTGTAAATAAATCATTTTCCTTTTCAATTTTCATATAAGTGGGGGTTAGTTACGCAATTGATAATAGCATGCATAGTTTAACTTTAAGCACATTGTTTTGTCCATCTTATTTTTACCCTTATACTTCTTCAATTTCAT